GGGGGGAAGGATAAGACTTATCTGACAGCATGTCAGGCAATATGATTGTATCACAACTGTCTACTTTACAGAAGGAAAATAATGTTGCCATAAAATGATTAGTAGACAGGTCAGAGGGAGTTATCCCCCCAAGATAGGAAAATATCCAGGTTATTTGGGTGCAAAGCGAGCTAATGCATAATTAAATATTTTTTAAAGTTATCTAAATAAAAAAACCTGTCATCTTTATCACTTTTATTTCTATATTTCAGTAGTGTTTTTTCATTTTTTTCAGGTCTCCAGGCCATTCCTGTAGTGTCTGTCATTTTCTTTCTGTGTTAAATGATTATTCCCCATGCTTTGATACTTTAACATCTTTAATATCTGCATAACAGTGCACCACTGCCATCTTCCCAGCACTGACGTGCATTTTGCCGTTTATATAAATATATGCAACACAGTGCCGAGCGCATCAGCTCACATGTGGAGCAGACTCGATTAATTAACTCTGGTGTGTCGCACCATGAAAAGGTAGGTGTATAAATGCCCTATGATTTTGTCCTGCTTTTCCTGGTCTCTCCTCTACTCCTTTCATCCTCTATTCCAGGGGTACTTGAGAAGGCCCTAGTGGGTATGTGTGGGCAGGTGAGGATGGAGCGTCGCCACGCTGCCGCGCAAGCACCACCCGCCCAGCCGGACGCAAAGGGCAGGGGAAGGTGTGCCCCCCCCCCCCACACTCCACATCTGGCTGCTGGGGGTACACTGGTCTGCGTCCGGGCGCCAGGGGTACACTGATCCAAAAAGGTTGAAAAACCCTGCTCCATTCCTACCTGGCTTCTGATCCCATGTTCCCTCCATTCACTCCCACTTTCTCTTTTCCATTCCTATCCTTCCTCTGGGTACCTACTTTACTTACCAAGTATGCAAAGATGGTGATTATGTGCATGTGTATCACTGGCCAACAGTGGGTGACTTGACAGCCCTGCCTTGAAATAGATACAATCCATTGCCCAAAGTTAAAGTAAAAACAGTAATACCTTAGGGCTTTGTCTGCATTCTGGCCAGTGGCCAGGGGTGTGAAGGTACAGGGCAGTGGCTACTTTGCACAAGCTCAGAGGACAGTAACTGTGAGGCTGCCAGTTCCACCTCCAAAATGTAGTAAGCTTTTTTGCACGTAAGCAGAGGTGGCCAACCTGCAGCATGCCTGCCACAAGGGCACAGGCTGCCCCTGTGCCTGATATGGAGCAGATTGGTGAGGGGGACAGGCACCAGAGTAGCAGGCAGGGCAGGAAGCTGAAAGCAGAGCAGCAGATTGGACAAGGAGCTGAACACAGAGCACAACAGCTCTGCAGGGATCCTGGTTTTCTTTGATTAAAATTCCCAATTTTCAGATTAAAATAGTAACCCAAACTCCACATTCTTGGCGATTAAAATGAAACACCACTAATATCTATTTGTCATCTATCTATCTATAGTGCTGTTTCATTTTAATCACAGAAAAATGTGGAGTTTGGGTTATCTTTTTGGATCTGAAAATTGGGGATTCTTTTTATCACAGAAAACCAGGATCCCTGAAGATTAGGCAGGGTAAAAGGGACGAGTAGCACTTGGGGAGGGTGGCTGTCTAATGTGACCATCTCCCTCTGCCTGAAGAACGGCGTTTGTACCTGCTTGCAAAAAACATTTTTTTCCAACTATTGATTTGGTCTAATAAAAAATACCATATTTACCCAAAGAGCCATGTCTACCTGTGTCCTTAGACCAACACCCCGTTAGATACACAGGGTGTCTAATGGGTGACACCCCCACCAAAGTTGCCCCAGAGCGGGCTGAGGGGGGGAATGGGCGTGGCTTCCCATTCGCTCCTCCCCCTCTAGCCCCGCCCCGAGAGCGGGGCCATAGGTAAGGAGAGGGGGGAATGTCCCTTACCTTTAGCTCCGCCCCCTCATCCCCCACAGTGGGGCCCCGGCAGAGCTTTGGAAGATGGTGGCTGAGGGAGGGGGCGTGACTTCATTTTAGCTCCTCCCCTTGTCCTCTAGCCCATCCCCTCAGCCCTCGGCGCCAGACCACTGGGAGAGGAGAGCGGGCCAGGGAGTGGGGGCGTGGCCTCCCACTCCTCCATCCCTTTGTCACCTAGCCCCGCCCCCTCAGCCTTCTCATCACCAGATCATTGGGAGCAGTGGCCTGCCACTCGCGCAGCCCGGACACTTGGGAGAGGGGAAAGGGCTGAGGAAATGGGGGCGGGGTGATCGGGAGGCCACGCCCCCTCTCCACGGCCTGCTCTCTTCTCCGGTGCTGAGGGGGCGGGACTAGAGGGCAGGGGCGGGACGAGCGGGAGGCCACGCCCTTTTCCCCTCCGCGCGCTGAGAGGCAGCGGCGGCACTTGCTCGCAGGCCGTGAGGCGCGGGCGAGCCCAGCGGAGGTGGTTCGCGGTCCCTGTGCACAGGCCGAGGCAAGCGGTGTCCGCGATGCTGGGGCGGGCGCGGCTGACGCTGGTGGTGGCTGTGCTGCTGGCGCTGGGCGGCGGGCCGGGCGCGGGTCGCGCGCGGG